AATGTGCTGCTGGGGCTCCCACAGTGATGACATCATACAGAGCATCTGCAACGGGAACAGACAAGCACAGAGATTTGCCTATGCCCAAGGTATGGCAACACTATGATATCTACTCTACAGGACATGAGAGCAACAAGTCTGTATTATTTCCAAGGAATAATCAATAATCTGTGTCTCAAGGAGGCCTAAGAGCTAATCAGTCTTTCAATACAGCCACCTGCACACCTTAGAAAGTTTACCTGATTTATTGCTTCATCTAAATTATATGCCGCAGTGTAGAACAATATTCTAGCTCTGCAGTTTACAAAGCTGTCAAGTAAACTGGCCTTTTGTGTATTTCACTTTATTACCCTTTCCATTATTTAACTTGTAGTCATGCTGAGATACACAGATTCATGCATTTTAGAGCCAAAAGAGACCATTATGATGGAATAGTCTGATTGCCTGAACAATACAGGCTACAGAATTACAGCTAATGATTCCTAGTCTTCTGGTTGAATGAAGTAATATATATATATATTTTTTTTTTTAAAAAAGGCAACTAATCTTGATTTAAATACTTCAAGTGACAATAAATTCACTGCATTTCCAGGGAAGTTGTTCCAATGACTAATCAACTTGACTCTACTTCTTTTCTAGTTTGAATTTGTTTAGCTTCCACTACCACATAAAATCACCTGTTTAATGCTAAATCTAAGAGCCCTATTCTATGACATACACTTACTTGTTATAGATGCTTATTAACACAGAGTAAGTCAGTTGTTTTCAGCTGAAAAGCTACCAGAATGGGAAATAAACTATACTACTGCAATTCTTGCTGAGACAACAAACTGTTGTTACTCTCCGTATGTACCTGATGTCTTGTGACGTATGTGATAACTTTTTCTATGGATGTATGCTTACAGAACTGGAGATGAAACATCTTTTTAAAAACAACCTTTCATTTTGTGCCTGTGATTGATTTTCAATGCAGAGATGAAGATTTAATTATATCCTAAACCACAGTAATTATTCCTTCAAACTTTAAATTTACATTTGCAGAATTTATGTTTGCATGAAGCAGTACCTGTGCTGTGCTCAAGCTCATCTGAGGTATAAAAATACAGGTCAGAAAGTATCATTCTTACAATCTATTTCTAAAGGAAACATTAGAGGATACTTTTTAAAAATTATTTTATTCATCACGGAAGCATTCCATGTAAATTAAAACCTAATTCTCTCCCAAAATAGAACTTTTCTTGCATTCTGATGATAAACAGCCCTAGAAGCAAGAACACTGTACAAATGATTCACAGTTAATGAACTATGTTTTACTTCCAGAGCTGAATCTCAAAGCATATTTGCTGAAATTGATTTGAACTCTAATGAATTGGTGACTCTTCAATTTCCACTTAAAAAGAGAAGTGACATAATTTCATTAGCCTCAGGTGAGATTCAGGATTTTTAAATAGCCTATTCTTTCAGATCTTCATGGAGACTTATCCATAGTACATAATCTTGGGCTATTAGAGCTCCATCAGTACTTGACAATAAGTAGATCTATTGCTTTAAACAAGAGTGGCTTGAAACCAAAATAAGAGATGAACCCATCAGGTTAACTGAATAATGGCTTCTCGGTATCTTTACAGACAACTCATTAAACTACAGGAAAACATTTGTAAACTCTAGTGCTTTTTCCAACTCTGTTCAATAAGTAAATTGTAATTCTGCTTATAGCTATTCTGGGGGTGGGATTTATCCAGAAGGAAGCTTTAAGAAAGGACACTCTCTCCACAATCCAGGAGGAAGCAGTTAATGACGTGCTACACCACCTGGATACTCGCAAGTCTATGGAGCCAGATGGGATCTACCTGAGAGTACTGAGGAAGCTGGCTGGAGAGTTTGCCAAACCACTTTCCATTGGTTATCAGCAGTCCTGGCAAACTGAGGAGGTCCCAGATGACTGGAGGCTTACCAATGTGACACCCATCTAAAAGAAGGGCCAGAAGGAAGATCCAGGGAACTACAGGCCTGTCAGCCTGACCTCGGTACCAAGGAAGATCATGGAGCAGTTCATCTTGAGTGTGCTCACATTGCATGTGGAGGACAACCAGGAGATCAGGCCAAACCAGCATAGGTTCAGGAAGGACAGATCCTGCTTGACCAACTTGATCTCCTTATATGACCAGGTGATCTGTCTAGTGCATGAGGGAAAGGCTATGGATGTTGTGTACCTAGACATTAGTACAGCCTTTGACACTGTCACCCACAGCATTCTCCTAAAGAAGCTGGTGGCTCATGGCTTAGATAGGTTTACTCTTTGCTGGGTTAAAAACTGGCTGGATGGCCAAGCACAGAGAGTTGTGGTGTACAGAATTAAATCCAGTTGGCAGCCAGTACCAAGTGGTGTTCCCCAGGCCTCAGTGTTGGGGCCAGTCATGTTTAATGTCATTATCAATGGATCTAGATGAGGGGATTGAGTGCTCCTTGAGTAAGTCTGCAGACAACACCTAATTGGGTGGGAGCGTTGATGTGCTCAAGGCTAGGAAGGCTCTGCAGAGGGACCTGGATAGGCTGGATTGATGGGCCGAGGTCAATTGTATGAGGTTTAACAAGGCCAAGTGCCAGGTCCTGCACTTGGGTGACAACAACATCATGCAGCGCTACAGGCTTGAGGATGAGTGGCTGAAAAGCTGCCAGGCAGAAAAGGACCTGGGGGTGCAGGCTAACAGCCAACTAAACATGAGGCAGCAGTGTGCCCAGGTGGCCAAGAAGGCCAATGGCATCCTGGCTTGTATCAGGAATAGCGTGGCCTGCAGGGGTAGGGAAGTGATTTTGCCCTTGCACTCGGCACTGGTGAGGCCATACCTCAAATGCTGTGATCAGTTTTGGGCCCCTCACTACAAGAAGGACATTGAGGCAACTGGAGCGTGTCCAGAGAAGGGCAAAAAAAGCTGGTGAAGGTTCTGGAGAACAACCTTATGAGAAGTGGCTGAGGAAGCTTAGGGTTGTTTAGTTTGGAGAAGAGGATGCTGTGGGAAGACCTTATCACTCTCTACAACTGCCTAAAAGGATGTTGTATCGAGGTGGGTGTTGGTTTCTTCTTGCAAGTAACTAGCGATGAGAGGAAATGGCCTCAAGTTGCACCAGGGGAGGGTTAGATTGGAACAAGGGGGAATGGTTTTGAAATGGAAAAGGGTAGATTTAGACTAGATATTAAGAAGAAATACTTTACTATGAGGGTGGTGAGACACTGGCACAGGTTGCCCAAGGAAGTTGTGGATAACCCTTCCCTGGAAGTGTTCAAGGCCAGGGTGGGCAGGGCTTTGAGCAGCCTGGTCTGGTGGAAGGTGTCCCTGCCCATGGGACTGGATGATCTTTGAGGTCCCTCCCAACCCAAACCATTCTATGATTCTATATTAAGAAAAACTGCTTTCCTGAAAGAGTGGTTAAACACTGGAACAGGCTGCTCAGGGAAGTGGTGGAGTCACCATCTCTGAAAGTGTTAAAAAAACATGTAGATGTGGCACTCCAGTGGGCATGGTGGTGTGGGATTGACGGTTGGACTTGATGATCCTAGAGATCTTTTCCAACCTTAATGAGTCTATGATTCTGTGATTCAGCCTGTGGCCTCAGTATGGTCAAGGATCAGTTGTTTGTGACACAAACACACCCAGGACAGCTGAGCGCCTACCCCACGAGGATGGCATAGAAGAAGAAAATGTCTACAACCCTGGTGAGAGGCACTGGGCAGTCTCATTCCCACTTTCCAAAGCACAGTACACTGGAAAGCACTGCAAGACTTGGGAGGAATGCCTCACGATGCGCTACATTTACACATAAATGCAGCTCCCTGTGAAGGACATGGAGCATGAGTGCACTGGTACAGGAATGCTCCAGTAACTCAGAGCCATCATCCACTTGAAGAACAGACTATTGCTGACAACTCTCTAAGGTGGAGACGGAACTTAAAATGCAGTGGAGTGGTAGGAGCTGTAACACATTGTCAGCATGCTCCCCCAAAATATTAATTAATAACAAACTCACAACTCTTCCTCAAATGATTGCTTCAGAATTTGAAGGAAGAAATGCATAAGATCAGAGTTCAAGAAAACTGAGTTTTAAATAAATCATCATTTCACAGTAATTATTCTGACTCAAAAGATACACTCACCTCCTACTTACACAAGTGAAACACTAACACCAGTTACACACTTGTCAAAAACCAATTCCTTCACTGTGCAGAGATATAAACTACCTGCTCATCACTCCTTCCCAAACAAACCAGAGCTTTGGCAACATGGTGACAATCACAGTGACGCAGTAGTTCCATAAACCTAAGCTTTATCGGACCAATTTAAAGAGTTGAGGGATCTGTATGTCAAGCACAGCTCAATCTAGAATTTGAAGCAACCTGCGTGCCTTCACAGAAGGCAGTCATTGTCTCACAGTGGCCAGACGCAAAATGAAAATCTCTTCAGTCCACCAAAACTATTTAAAACAAGTCTCTAAGAGACAATCAGAAGTTCCCCCTGATCCAACTTGGAAGTGGATGAACATCAGTAATACACAGTATAATACCCCTGTAATTATTGTTTGTACTTATTATTTTACAATCTGTGTAGATGCAGAGTGTATTTATAAGGCAAACACCCTAGAGAGTGTAATTTCCATGTTTCTACAGTGACAGTAAACTTAATAGATCTCAATTTATCAACAAATTATTCACTGTACCATGATTTGCTTGTATGTATGTATCAATATAATCTTTTATCTGGAAAGGATGCTGCTAAAACTGTATGCAAGCAGCAGCAACAGAATTCTGTATTAAACAGACAGTATTAAGAGAAAATTATCCCCCTTTCCAGAAGGTATTAGAAGCTCAAAGTATTTCCAGAATAATCGGTGAGGTATTTGCACTTAACACTATGCAAATGCTTACGTGGCACAGTGCAGCACTGAATAAGTTAATTTAGGCACAAGTAGTTCTGGTCTTCCTAAGAAACAGAATATTTTAAGTTTCAAAGTAACACTGTCCTTAATGGAACTGTGCTACTCTTGTCACCTAGGCTGGCGAGTTCATCCTGGCAGTCTCTGGGAGGAAATTTTGCGTGCTCGATCACTATTTCTGGTGGCACAGTGGGAAAAAAAACAATCACCTTAGAAATGAGACAAGACTGGCTTTTACATTACACTGACATTGTGGATCACAATGAAAAATTAAGCCAATGCCCTAGAAGCACATGAATCTTACTGAACAATTGTGCAGCGTGTCAGTATGAATCATGGCAGTATAAGTTCTGCACTGCTACAACAAAATGTTTTTAACCACACTTAGGCTACCAATACATTTTAGTGAACATATCTTCTGCATTTACTTATTTATTTGAAGTGTCATAGAAACAAATGAGCATGACAACCCTGGAATTTATTTTTAAAAAAAGGGAAAGAAAAAAAAGTGGGAAAAAAAGGGGAAAAAAAGGAAAAAAGGAAAAAAGGAAAAAAGGAAAAAAGGAAAAAAGGAAAAAAGGAAAAAAGGAAAAAAGGAAAAAAGGAAAAAAGGAAAAAAGGAAAAAAGGAAAAAAGGAAAAAAGGAAAAAAGGAAAAAAGGAAAAAAGGAAAAAAGGAAAAAAGGAAAAAAGGAAAAAAGGAAAAAAGGAAAAAAGGAAAAAAGGAAAAAAGGAAAAAAGGAAAAAAGGAAAAAAGGAAAAAAGGAAAAAAGGAAAAAAGGAAAAAAGGAAAAAAGGAAAAAAGGAAAAAAGGAAAAAAGGAAAAAAGGAAAAAAGGAAAAAAGGAAAAAAGGAAAAAAAGGAAAAAAGAAATAAAAAAAACGAAAACAGGAAAACAGGAAAACAGGAAGAAAAGGAAAAAAAGGAAAAAAAGGGAAAAAAAAAAGGAAAAAAATGGAAAAGGAACTTAAAAGAAATGTAGGTAACCACTCCTCCATTTTCCAAGATGAGGAGTCAGTATCCAAAACTTGTGGCTTCAGCAGACAAGGCAGAGAAGTTCCCTGCATGGCTTTAACTTTGTACCTGATTCCTAAGTTTCAAGACAGACTCAGGACTTCTGTTCAAACTCAGTCTGGGTGCAGGTTTCAGAATTTGTAAAAAAATGTGAAGGATGGGCAAGCTGATCACTTCTTTGATTTCATTATTCACTTAAGTGAGGTCCTCTATAGCCAGTACCTACTCAGTTGCTCTAGAAATATTCTAAACACCACCTAAATCCAAAATCTTGGGTTTTAGAAGCAGATGTGCAAGCCTGATAGAAATCAAACTCCTCAGGAAAACAGGCAGGTTCCAGATTTGTACGCAAAACAAAGGCAGGAAATAACCACACAGAAAATTTCTAGAGCTCATTATAAAAAGTGAAAAAAATGAAACACTTCCAGCCTGTACAAGCAGTACAGACTTTTAAATTATGAATTTGGAAGCTTGATTATGTTAAAAAAAAAAACAAAAAAAAAAAAAAAAAAAAAAAAGGGGGGGGCAAACCAACCACCAAACTGGAAAACCAAGCAACAACCTAGTCATACAAGAAATCTGTATCAAGCCATACTGGACAAATCTCACAAAGAAGCTTATACTGTACTGATTTCACTGTCAAAACACATGCTACTTGAAACAAATCTCAGAATTTTCTTTAAAAGTCACTATTTCTTATTGAAAGATATTTTCTTCTCCTCAGCATTCTTCCAAATTGCACATAAATTCACTAAAGAAAATATAAATAAATTTAATACTACTACTTTCTGTGCTTTCTATCTGTAGTATCTTTATGCCTCACTTAAAGTATATAACCTTTATCCCATAATTAAGCGCAAAATTCAAAATGACCAAGATTCAACTCTATAAACAGTATACTTTTCAGTCCTACTACAGTTTTAAGGTTCCATCTGAAAGCCTGCCCACTTAACGTTCATTCTTGAAACTGGATATATGAATTAAGGTATTTACATCATAAAAGGGCTAAAATTGAAAGCATACCACTCAGTTTCAAGTTTAAATGCATTTCAAAGTGTACTTTGTCATACTTAGGGAATTTCTCTGCATAACATACTTTACCTTTCAATCGAGGACTATGCACATGCATTCTTTGCAGATGGAGATTTATTGGGATGAATTCTAAAGTTTTTTCTCCTTTACTACAGCTTGATTTGAAGGAAGAACCTGAAAAACAAAAGTTTAAAGAATCATTATCTTAAGCACCCAGCAGATGTTTTGTCTTCTTTTTAATGCAAGGACAATACTTGTATGTTAGCAGTCTTCTTTAATTTACTTTTAATGTGTAATTGTGTATTAGGAGAAGAATGGTTCACTAACTGAGTCTCAGCATGTATCCATATTGTAAGCAACAGAACAGCTTCTAATTCACAGAACCATCTATTTTTTTTTTATTTCAGGTGATAGACATTCTTTCCTGCTGTCTGAAGCCGGTCTGCAGTCTCCTGGAAACAATGCCACAGTTAATGTGCATTATACTTATTCTGTGCTAAAAACACAGGGGTACAGAGCTATGAAGATACTATATGTTCATCAAGTAACCTTTTTTTTTTCTTCTAACAAAAGTATTACATTGACTAGGCTAAGCATTCTTCCTAGAAAGTTCAAATAAAGAAACATAATCTAGCTTAAGAAAAGCTATAAATTAGTTTTCTTTCTAAAAGGTCGGAATCAAAAGAACTCCGAACAACAACAAAATATCTGGTTGTACACTTCAGAAAGTATGTGACTATGAGTAACTGTATGGTGGTATAAGGGAATACAATTAAAGCCTGACAGTATGAAAATGTAGTTTACCTGGAGATATTTGATACAGCACATATATAAAACAGAAGACTTGATTAGGAAAGAGAGGTGGTCCTAACTTCTCACTCAGGCAGTCAACATTTACTCACACCATCTTTTCAACACCTTATCATTTTGCCAACTATTAATCATTTGGACTAAAGTTCCTCTGATTAAAACAGGATTTAAAAAAACAAACAAATTAAAAATGTCTTTGGAAAGGTACAACCTTTTCTTGGGATAAAATGGTAAAAGAAATAATCCAAATTTTTCTTTTTGACTTGCTCAGTCAAGATATGGTAAAGTTTACCTGTTGAAACAGCTGTAGAATCCAACATTACTGAGCATTGAGCCTCCCAATGCAAACCACATTGCCAGAAGTCACCAATGGTGACCAATTGTCTCCAGACGAGCCAAGCTTACTTAGGCTGCTACCTAAGCGTAGTAACTTAAAATAATAATTTAACAGAGATTAAGAGCAAAGGTAGCAAGAAAAGCAATTGACAGGAGTCAAAGATTTATATCTGATAGGAAACTTGGAGATGCAGGCTGAAAGCAGGAGTCAGTGATAATGAGGAATAGCAGTAGGAAACCTGCATCTGGAAAGTGCAGAAAGACAAAATTACAGGAGCAGTGAAGGGAACTCAAACTGTATCAGAAAAGAAATCAGAATAATGCAGGTGAGGAGACTGAAATTAATTACAAAAGAAAACAGAAATTGAGCAGATTATTTATGAGAATTCAACTGAGACCAAGATCAAAGTTTAAGGAATACCTGGATCTGAGCCAAGGAAACACTGGTAGACTAATAGGAGAACAAGATGAGAGCAGATTACAAGGGACAGGCAAAGTAAGAGTAGGAGGGAGGATAAGAGCCTTCCCTACCTGGAGAACACTGCTCTCCTGAGCAGGAGAACAAATGCAGCATTGCCAAGCCTTGTTATTCCTCTTTCAGGGAAGACCTGAGAATCCCTTCCCCTCCAGTGCCAGAAACATATGGTGATGATAACCACCCACTGCCATCAGTTATTCTGTTTACACAGGCATGACCGATCCATGCAGTGGAATTAATACTGGCAAATGCAGATAAAGGTATCATCCATATGATATAACAGTATAGTTTGGGGAGTTTTTGTGTTGTTGAGATTTTTTTTGTTTGCTTGGTTTGGGGTTATTTTGTTGTTGGGTTTTTAGGTTGGTGTTGGTTTTTGTTTGTTTGTTTGTTTGTTGTTGGGGGTTTGTTTGTTGGTTTGGTTTTTTTTAAATAACAGAAGTAACCTTCATGTGACATCCACCTGAAGAGGAATTTTGAAACAGACTTCAATGACATATCACATACTAGCTTTTTCCAGCTCATTGAATGTTTAGGGTCTTTGCTGCTCACTTTAGAAGCAGTGATTCAATATTTTGTTTCCAACTTTTACTTTGGTATCTGGATTCAAATATATTGCTCAAGCCTCCCACAAAAACAAGATTATTAATTTCCTCAAACTTCTCTACTGCATGCATCACTACAGTTTCTAAGGGGTTTACAAATATTTAGAGAATAATTTCAACTGCCTGAGGAAAAACATTTATAATTTTATCCATTCTAATGGCAGAGAATATCTTCAGGTCAAAGCATTTAAGAAACAATGCATCAATATGAGATATGGAGGATCTCACTCTGCAGAGCATGCTTTATAATAAAACATCACTTTCCATTTTGGAAGTACAGCTCCTGACTGAGCTGAACTACATCCCTAAGTACCAAGTGCTTCTGCAGAACAGCTTGCCTCTATTGCCAGGCTTCCAAAAATGAACACCACACACCAACCACTTCTGAAGCCTGACTTGCCTAGAGTCACACAGGAACTTTGTGACAGAGGCAGGGACAGTATCCAGTTCTCCAGAGTAACATTCTGGAGTAACTTGACTGTCTCATCTTCTCCTTCTAGTGCTGGATGAAGAACAGAACCTTCAGTTTGATGATGAAATGGTAAAAAAAAAATAAATATTGGAAGGTAGGAGGAGGAGGCAGAGGGGGAGAATCATTTCAGGTCAGACTACAACAAACAGAAAAAGTTCTACTCCCTCCTAAAAGCACCAAAAATGTGTTTTTAGATTAACCTGAAATGGTTTGTTTTCATGTTACCTAACTCTTTTAGATTTCTGTTACTATGTTTCCTTGAAACAAAAATACCTGGCATTCTCTAAGATTGTCTCCCATTTTTGAGGATAAAAGCGTTCACCAAAAAGCTGCAAATCTGAAATAGCCTTAACTTCCTTAAACCTCCATTTTCAGTAAATATGCTGCTAAACCAAAACCGCTGTCTAACATCAATGCAGTTTTCTGACACTTTCACTGCAATTTCTCAATTTTAAAAACAAATTAAGTGGTCTACTAACAACAGTCTTCCCCATTAAATTCCACAAATAGCTTAGTTGAGCATGAAATAGTGTCTCTCGGAAAATACAGCGTGTGATTGTATAAGGAGGAATATGGGAATATTTTGGAAAAAAATTATTTGAAGATGCCATCTCTCCTTCTGTACACTGCTTATGGGTGAACAGAGTCTTTCCTAGCATTGATACAAAAGGAGACTGCACCTAGATGACTTACCCAGAGTTGATTCTTCAGAATAGTTTGTGACAAGATAAAAACATACAAAAAGCACCTTGTTAAAGGAAAGCAATTGTTCAGTGAGTAACAATGCAAAGATGCTAAACACATTAACACTGACCCTGCTTTTGACGTACCAAGGATGGAGAAGAG